AAACATGGCCCAAATGAAACAACAAAACATATCTCCGGAAAAAGAAATAAATAAAATGGAGATAAGCAATCTATCAAATGCAGAGTTCAAAACACTGGTTATTAGGATGCTCAAGGAACTTACTGAGGACCTCTGCAGCATGAAAAAGATCCAGTCAGAAACAAAGGATACACTAACTGAAATAAAGAACAATTTACAGGAAAACAATAGTAGAGTGGATGAAGCCAAGAATCAATCATTGATTTGGAACATAAAGAAGCAAAAAACAACCCATGGGACCAACAAGAAGAAAGGAGAATAAAAAAAAAAAATAGTGTAAGCAGCCTCTTGGACAAATTCACACAGTCCAACATTCACATCATAGGGGTGCCAGAAGGAGAAGAGAAAGAGCAGGAAATTGGAAACCTATTTAAAAAATTAATTAAAGAAAAGTTCCCTAATTTGATAAAGGAAATAGACATATAAGTGCAGGAAGCACACAGAGTCCCCAAAAAATGGATGCAAAGAAGCCCATTTCAAGACACATCATAATTAAAATGCCAAAGGTTAAAGATAAAGAGAGAATCTTAAAAGCAGCAAGAGAAAAAAAGGCACCAACAGGGGACTTCCCATAAGACTGTCAGCTGATTTCTCAAAAGAAACTTTGCGGGATAGAAAGGATTGGCAAGAAGTATTCAAACTCATGAAAAGCAGAGACCTATAGCCAAGATTGCACTACCCAGCAAAGCTATCATTTAGAATCGAAGGGCAGATAAAGAGCTTCTCAGACAAGAAAAAAACTAAAGGAGTTCATCATCACCAAGCCATTATTATATGAAATGTTAAGGCGACTTATTTAAAAAAAAAAGATCAAAACTATGAACAATAAAATGGCAATAAATACATACCTATCAACAACTGAATCTAAAAAACAAAAAAACTAAGCAAACAAGAAGAATAGAGACAGAATCATGGATATAGAAAGTGTTTGGATGGTTACCAGATGGGAGGGGGTGGGGGAAAGGGAATAGAGGTAAGGAGACAAAGTAGTACAAATAGGTAGTTCAGAACAGCCGTGGGGATGTAAAATGTAAAGTACAATATAAGACACTGAGTAGCCATATGCATGACCCATGGACATGAACAATGGTGGAGGGATGCCAGAGGTAGTGCGGGGTGCTGAGTGGAAGGAGATGAAGGGGGACAAATTGGGATAACTGTAATAACATAATCAATAAAGTACAATTAGCTCTGGCTGGTGTTGCTCAGTTGACTGAATGCTGGCCTGCAAACTAAAAGGTCGCATGTTTGATTCCCAGTCAGGGAACATGCCTGGGTGACAGTCTAGGTTCCCCAGTTGGGGGCATGGGAAAGGCAGTCAATTGATTTGTCTCTCGTACACTGATCTTTCCCTTCCGCCCTCTTTCTCCCTCCCTTCCCCTCTCTCTAAGAAGTAAACAAATAAAATCTTTAAAGGAATAAATAAAATACAATTAAAACAATAACTAATACCAACTCTTCTCTGACTTTTCAAAAAAACTGAAGAGAGAACACTTCCTAAGTCATTCTATGAGGACCAATTTATCCTAATGCCAAGGACAGATAAGACTCTATAAGACAATTACAGACCAATAACTTCCTATGAAGAATGATGCAAAAACCCTTAAAAAAATACTAACAAACAGAACTCAGCAGCATGTTTAAAGAATTACATACTATTTGGGATTTATTCCTGAGATGCAAAGGTAATTCAATGTTTTGAAATTGATCAACGTAATGCCTCACAACAATAAAATGAAGGGAAAAACCAACATGATCGTTTCAAGGGATACAGAAAAACCATCTGGCAAACGTCTCCATTCTCTTGTGAAAAAAAAAAACCACTCAACAAACTAGGAATAGAAGGAAACAACATAATAAAAGCCATCCATGAAAAACCCACAGAGAACACAACACTCAACGGTGAAAGACTGAAAGCTTTTCTCTCCTCTCAGATCAGGAACGAGGCAAGGATGCCTGCATGACCACTTCCATTCAACATAGTAATGACAGTTACAGCCGGAGCAACTAGGCAAGAAAAGAAACAAAAGACATTCTAATGTCTCTGAGATTATATTAAAAATACTGGCTTAACAGTCATAAAATCTAGTTTCTCTAAATATATGTCAAAAATACACATCGTGTCTCTTTAGTTTTGCCATTTCCTATACCATACATTCATAATATATGTGTATTGCCCTTACAAGAGTTTAAAAAATATTGGCTGGTCCTGGCCGGGTGGCTCAGTTGGTTGGAGCATAGTCTCATACACCAAAAGGTTGCAGGTTCAATTCCCGGTCAGGGTACATACCTAGGTTGCGGCTTTAATCCCCAGCTGAGGCGCATACAGGAGGCAACCAATCAATATTTCTCACATCGAAATCTCTCTCTCTCTTCCCCCTCTTCTTTCTTCCTTCCTTCCTCTCTCTCTCTCAGATCAATAAACATATTATTGGGTGAGCATTTTACTAAATAAATAATTATCAGCTGTACTCATTTTTGTTCATATGATCAATCACTCTAATGCAATTATGATTAATAAGAAGTAATGACAAAAGCACCCAGCTCATCCCTGGTAATGATTCAAGGAGAAACTTACATAAACCAGACTAAAATAAACAATTAAAAAAAAAAAAACGGAAAAAACATGTAACATGAAGGCATTATAAAAGGTGAGTCTTTCTTAAGATATTTGATTATCAGCAGAGATCCTCACTAAATGGCATAAGGGCATAAAGCCTGCATATCAGACATTAAGAAACTAAAATCTTGGCTACATAACTTTTTAAGACTAGCCAGGAGTATTTTTGCCTTTCAAAGAATTTAACCAACTGAAAGTGACATATGGGCACCATATGGTGAGCCAGGAGGAGGTGAATTGAGGGTTAGTCTTTATATTATGACACAGAAATGATACTAATGAATCTAGCCACCAGAGAAATAATGATCAATATATAACCTCAGGGCTGACAAAAAGGTAACCTAAGAAAGTCAACGAACCTGGTCAGCCACTCCTACATTGGGTTAATGCGTACAACACTGTAAAGGGGGAGCACAGGCTTAAATCACTATGAACAGAAATGACTGATCAAAAAGTACAGACAATCAAACTTCGAGGTAACTTTGTATTGCCTAAAATCCCCTGTCTCTCTAGGACAGGCACTGTACATAATTGACACACCACTTTTTTAATTGACTGAAGACTATATATATGGTAGTAAGTTTAAATAGTAAAAGTCAAATTTGATCAAGCAAAATAGAAACAGACTCATAGAAGGAGAGCCCAAAGACAGCTGGGTGGCTGGAGGTGAGGGGGTGGAGGGACTGGCAAAAAGGAAAAGGACTCATGGACGTGGACAACGATGTGGTGATTGCTGGGGATGGGAGTGTAAGGGGACTAAATGGTAATGGAAAAAAAGACAATAAAGATTAAATCAAAAAAATTTAAAAATGATAAATAAAACTATACCAAAAAATGGGTATAGTAGTTGCCTCTAAAAATCAGATTACTAGAAATTTTCCGTTTCTTTTTCTTAACCTATCTTAAAATAATTCAATGCTGAAGGTACACTTTTATAATTAGAGAAAGTTATACTTTAAGAGTTAGGCCTGATTAAAAAAAACCTCAGTACTTAAGGAAAAATAATAAAACCAAAGCAAACTCTGGGCCAGAAAAAGTTTGTGCCATAAAAAAATTACAGGTTATTCCTCAACATAAACGAAAGACTTCCAATTACTAGTGTAACTAGATAATGCATTAGCCAAACTTGGTCCACTTTAAGAGTTCAAGGAGGATCAAAAAATTATTAATAGGTGTTTAATTGACCTATAATAGCTGTAACTGAGACCTGTTTTGTGGAAACCAGAAAAAATAATCATCTTACTCACTGCCTGCATGATCAAGTTCTAACTCTTTAGGACAATGTTAAAATCATTAAGACCCACCTATCTCATCTCTACTTCTGCTACAAAACCTAAAACACATGCTACACTGGCCATTCCATCAACCACGATTCTGAATTTTCACTTCCCAGAGGGCCTTTTCTTCCCTTCTTTGCCTAGCGTTCTACACCTTCCAGCTTAGTGTCACTTCCACAACAAAGCAACTTCTTCCTTCACCGTATACTAGCACGTTCAGATCTCTCACCAACGGTTCTTAACCTGGGGCCTATAAATGGCCTGATGGACATCTGTGAAATTCTGAAATTATATATAAACACTGGGTATTTGCTCTTTGTTAAGGAGAAACATTGCGACCATTCGAATTCTAATATCTATAACCCAAAAGGATAAGAGTCATTGTTTTACATACAACCTTAGATTACTATGATTTATTTACTTGTCTCCCTCATACACTATGAGTTTCTATAAAGCACCCTGTCATATTCCTAGGAATAAACAGTATGATGAACTAAAATATTAAAAAGATGTCTTTCCCCCAATTCTCCCAAAATTCTCTCAGGATCATTCTAAGACACCTGATATCTGCTTCTAATTTAGTACTTTCATTCTCTAACTTTTAAATCCCTTCATTTATGAATCTGAATCAATCATTTCACATAAAAAATTAAATCTCTTTCCATTAAAGCCTATGTTTTCCAAACACTACATTTTCACATCTAATTGGAGAGAGAAAAAGTAAAATAAAAAAAAATTTAGTTAAACTTTTAGAGAAGATATTTGAAAAGAAAAGTGAAACTCACAATACATGGCCAAAGCCAATTATTTACAAAAAGAAAAAAAGACGACAGGTGTATGAGTCAATCTATCTTAACATGTTAGTTTCGTAACACTTCCTAAATTAACATGATGGGGAAAAGGCCTAGTCACCTTATTATATTATATACATCTAATTCTATTTGGGATTTTATTGAACCTTGTGCCAAAAAAATCGATCCCCTGCCTATCAAACACTGTCTGTAGTGTCAAGGGCTCACGCGGGAAAAGAGACGCAGTCTGACAAACAACCTTGAACTACTCACCGTGCTGTACACTGCCGAGACAGTAGGAGTGAAGATCCGATCCTCGAGAGGCTGCTGTACAGGTCCTCTAGGAATTCTAGAAGAGCAGGTTAAGGATAAGAGAGCTCAAAAAATGGATTGCTTTAGCAGTAAGAGAAAATTACCACCACAAAATTCTGTCAGTGACCCAAGCTTTGGTACCCAATTAGTGGGGAGTTATACACTTAATTGTCCACAGGAGCTACAAAAAACAAAGTATTTCAAATTCCCTAATGTGATTATATCAATCTCTCCAAAAGTGAGTCCCATGATAAACATTCCATGGAAACTGTAGCCCTGGCTGGAGTGGCTCAGTGGACTGAGCACAGGCCTGCGAACCAAAGGGTCACTAGTTCGATTCCCAGTCAGGGCACATGCCTGGGTTGCAGGCGAGGTCCCCAGTGGGGGGTGCCCCCAGTCCTAGAGGCAACCACACCTTGATGTTTCTCTCCCTCTCTTTCTCCCTCCCTTTCCGTCTTTCTAAAAATAAATAAATAAAATCGTTTTTTTAAGAGAGAAACTCCAAACAAATAAAATTACACAACAAACCTCCAAACTTTTAAGCCTATGATGAAAATCTACCACCTTACTTTATAAAGAAAGAAGACTAAGGAAATATAAGCAGGATATTCACAAAGATTAAGACTAATTCATCAACCTGGAAATTGCTGACACAGGCCCAGTCTGTTTTGCTAACTACAAAAGAATAGAGAATAAAACTCCTTCCTTGTTTTTGTCTTAGCTGCTATTTTACCTCACATCCACCCACCAACTCCCCATTTTTAAAAAAACACTCTCCAGCATAACTTAGTTTAAAATGTTTCAGCATGTTGTCAAGACATTCTGTTAAAAGACAAAGGCTATATCATTTTATTCAGCTTCAAAAATGGAAAGATGTAACAAGTTCCTCTATCAGGTAAGATAACACCTCATAAGGTAAGAGTTTTAACTCACAATATATGGCTGAAGAGTGACAACCAAAAAACTGACACCAAAAGATTAATGGCACTTATCTCCACATGGGAGGATTTACCTAACTGTTACATGCCTTTTCTATAATAAATATAAGTTACTTGCATAATTTCAATGTATTTTTGAAAGAATGACTATAAATGTAGTAAACCAAAAGGAGAACCCTTCCTTCATCATAACAATTATTTAATACTTCTCATGTTATGTTCCTTTCTAATTCAATAAAAGTTTGAAAGACAGACTGACAGCTGCAAATAATAATTTTATATGAATGACCAGAAGCTGCAGAAATCTGAAAGAATCATTACAAGTGGAATTCTTCATATCTAAGTAGCAACAGTTTACTGAGGCAAGAGAAACACACACACACGAACACACACTATGCTTTAGTCATTCAAAACTAGTAACACTGTACCAGTCTCTAGACAGTTCCTTAGACTAGCCATCTCAGAGAATAATAGTTCACTGTGTTGCCATCATCCCCTATGCATGAAAAACTGATTTAAAACACCACATTGAAAAATAAAGCTAAAACATATCACTTAAAAAATGCTTCACGCACCCTGGCTGGTGTGGCTAAGTGGACTGAGGACCAGCCTGCAAACCAAGGGTTGCTGGGTTGTGGGCCAGGTTCCCAGTAGGGGGTGCTCGAGAGGCAACCACATACTGGTTGCTCTCCCTCTCCCTCTCTATAAAAATAAGTAAAATCTTTTTTAAAAAACTTTTTAAAAATGCTTCATCCAAACTATATATATGTTTGCAATATATAAACAGAAGGTTAACAAGTTTCAGGACAAAAGTCCTTCATATTAGCTTATCAATTCTTTCAGAAATAAGATTACCCCTGGCTAAAACAAAACTTTCTTTGAATTATAGTTCTATATTGTGGTCACGTGAATAGTGGAAAATATGAGACCATTTTTCCCCTGCAAAGCCAACTGCTACTGCTTTTTCTAGCTAATGCTAATTCTCACTATGTGAAATTAAGTTCTCATGGTAGTTATCAGTACTATGCCCCACAGTACTGAGCCACACCACTTAGGGGCAGGTTAGGGCTCCAGGTTTCTATGTTACTTTACTAGCAATCAATACTACTAGAACTACAAGATTTCTAAAAAGACAGTCATATATTTGTCTGACATCCCAGCTGACATTCTTTCTCTCTGACCAGAGATATAGAATTTGATTTCATTTATTTCACTCTGTAAACTACGAACAGAATATTGTGAGGATCGATAAATGAAGTGTTTTGTAAAAGAACATTTAGATAAAAAATAAGTATTTTAAAATAAAAACACAGTTCTATAAAAAGAAAACTAAAAATAGAAGTTAGAAGATCAGAATCCAAAGCGCACTACCAGCATAACCAACCAGGTTGTCTTCACTGCACCATTTTATGGTACTCTGGTAAACTGAAGCTCAGCGAGATAAAGTAACCTACCCAAGGTAACAAGGCAAAGTAGCCGGGCCAGTTCTCTGTATTCTAAAGACATCTGCTCTTCCTACTACACCAGTGTGTTCAGGGAAGAAAACAATTATCACAGCCTGGTCAAAATATGGCTGCCTCTATCTACAGTATGGAACTAAATTAGCATTTCACCTCATAAAAGATCCACGCAGTGTCACTCTACAAGAACTTCCCAGATTCTTGGCCCAAGTTGAGTCATTTTCCCAGCAGCAAATGGAATACTGACTATTACAGATAGGGCAGGTAATGCAAGAAACCAAAGGAGCTTCTTTTATGGAGCAATTTTCTCTTAATTCTTAGTGGTTATGGTTGCACATCTCATAAATATGCTAAAAACCACTGAACTGTACGACTGAATACTGTAAATTATATGGTATGTAAATTATATATCAAATTTAAAATAACATTATTTTAGTAATTTGCAATTAAGCTGGTTATCACCCTTTCCACTAAAAAAAAAAAAAAAAGCCCAGATAAATGAGTATTGAGCTAGGTGCTGCTAGGCATTTTCTCTGAAAACAAGTAAATTCAAAGAAATGACATGCATATAAAGCTCTTAACACTTCAGCATACTTCCTCCTAATTCTGCCAACCATTAAGCTTATTATCAGTTCCCACCAAGCTCTGTATCTCCAGCAAATATGATTGGATGCTTATTTCCCTTTGAGCTCACGGAAACATGCAAATAGTTTCTCATAGCACCACTTAAAATTCTAATTCAATCAGCAGTATAATATGAATGTGCAGTACTCCAGAAAACATTTTTATTTTTTAAATCTCCTGACTGAAATACAGTAGCAGGCCCACTTGACACTTTTGTAGTTCAAATTGCTGATTTATATCATTAGGAAAAATAAGCAAAATCATTAGCAAGGTTAGATGATGGTATGTAATTCTACACATTCTTTTCCTAATAAAACATTAACAAATTTCAAAATCAAATATAATTTTAAGGTCAGCTCTGGCTGGTATGGCTTAGTGGATTGAGTGCCAGCCTGAGAACCAAAGGGTCGCTGGTTCAATTCCCAGTTAGGGCACGTGCCTGGGTTGTGGGCCAGGTCCCCAGTACAGGGGCATGTGAGAGGCAACCACACATTGATGTTTCTCTCTCTCTCTTTCTCCCTCCCTTACCCCCTCTCTAAAAATAAATAAATAAAATCTTTTTTAAAAAATGAAATTGCAAAGATCTCTTAAAAATTTGAAGGTCAAAGAGAATTAAAGTATGATAGACTCTAAATTGATTATGTTTTTTAAATATTTTATTTATTTTTAGAGAGAGGGGAAGGGAGGGAGAAAGATAGGGAGAGAAACATCAGATGGTTGTCTCTCACACATGCCCCACCCCAACCAGGACAGAACCCACAACCCAGGCATGTGCCCTGACTGGGAATTGAACCAGCAGCCTTTTGCCTTGCAGAACAACGTCCAACCGAACTACACCAGTCAGGGCTCTAAACTGATTATTAAAGTACTCGCTACATACTCACTACATTAAGCGTCAATTTGGCAAATAAAAAAATTCAGTGACTAAAATTTCATCATAAAAACCCAGGATAGGATATGAAGAGATTACATAATGATCTGTTTCCTATTTATACCATGAAGGAAAGTGGGGACCTCTAATTCTTTTAAGCACAGATGTTTACTGAAATTTCATGAATGATGAACTCTCCTCAGGAGAGTTTTGGATCAATGGAATCATAACTGAACTTGGATCTGACTAGTCAGTATCTCCTCAAAAGGTAGATTTTGAGCCCTGGCTGGTGTGGCTCAGTGGATTGAGCGCTGGACTGCGAAGGGTCGCCTGTTCGATTCCCAGTCAGGGCACATGCCTGGGTTGTGGGCTGGGTCCCCATTAGGAGACGCGCAAGGGGCAACCACTTATTGATGTTTCTCTCCCTCTCTTAGAAAACAAACAAACAAACAAACAAAAAAGGTAGATTTTGACAAGTTAGAAAACAAGTAGTAAACGTCCAGAGAAATCTTCCTGCAGTTTGCTGGAACACTAAAGTTCCATTTACAAACCCCAGCTGAATGTTCTTGCACTCTGCCCCACTCCACTTCAAATGCTACTACCCCAATGCTCAGCATAAACAATATTCTTAAAGTGACAGCCTCAAGTTATCATTGCCTCACTAAAAGGAAAAGTGAAAGCACAAACCCACCGCACAAATACTGGTTTAGAGAAGACACAGTTAACTGATCTCAGGAGATGACAAGTGAATACAAAAGATTTTTTTCTGCGTAACGTCTTATTTAAGCTTTAGAGCAATATGATAACGTCAGTCAATGTATGCCTTCTCCACTTTCTCCTCCTTGCTACAAAGTTTTTGATAATGAAAAAGGAAGATAAATTGTATAGCATGAGGGCAAAATTTCAAAACTATACCCTATTTCACAAAGATACTATGCATGATCCCTCAAAAGCAGGACTATTTAAAATACAGATGATTTGGAAATAGCTATATTCCCTTTGATATTAGTTCTGACTCATAAGAAATGTCTATAAAATTAACTCCAAATGGATCAAAGACCTAATGGAAAAGATAAAACTACAAATTTTTAGAAGTACACAGGAAAAATCTGCATAACCTCCTATTTGGCAATAGACTGTTAAG